AAAGTGTCTGAACTTGTTCAATAGTTTTCGAACTTGAACGTCTAGCTTATCATAATAAATCATTTCGTATTGAATTAAATGTTTTACATCCAAGTCTGGTTCATACTAGTAATTGTATCAGTCACACAAAAGTCTCGCAACCAGGTAAAAATTACCTAAACTTAAACTCTTTGGCTTCATAGTTTGACGACAAATAGAGCATGTCCAACTCTAATTGCAATTATTAATCAGGTCTTGATTAAGCTTCATTCGGAGGAGCTAAAAGGTCAATATAGATTTTTCTTCAGATAAGGATATCTCAACATAGACAAAAGGTCTTATGACCTTAGATACCTCATTCGATAGCTCAGTGCTGTCTCTATCACCAATAAAAATGTCATGTTAAACAATTTTAGTTTGCCTGATATATGAAGTAACTTTTAGGTAATCATCCACATGAAAGTTGATGAGAAATCATCGAAAAGTGATCTATATCTCCAGTTAATTTTAAGTATTAGCTTTGAAATTAGCTTCAGTGAGTATCCTGCTCTAATAAAGTTTTTTCTGAAAATTTCACGATCACGGCCATCGATGGAGAAGGAATCCATGCTGAAACCGTACCATACAATGGAGACTTCTCTCCATCTCAAGATTAAAACGGATTGAAGTACCATATCTATGACACAATATAGACATGCGAACCCTTATTATATTATTAAGAAAATGAAGTTTAAAGCATTTAAATAGTAAAAAAATCAGAAAAATATCAAAAAAGCTTTTTTGAAGTTCTAGGGATACGAAGAATAACATGTTTTCATCGTAAATTCTTTGCATTATGGCTTATCGACCTCAAAGTGCTGCTTGTAATCAGGATTTACCAAGTTCTATTTTTAATTAAAGTATCAAGCAAAAAAATTGAACTTTATGTACTTTTTACTCCGCAGTCGAACTTTCGATTGCTGCATAAAATAACTGATTTGAGCTAAAAACCTATTGTGATTGCATAAACATCATTTTCAATCATTGAAACAGACACTTTCTTATAATTGATCAGCCTCAAGTTCAACGATGATTCTTAGCATATGTATGTAGAAAAAGTACATAAATCCCTGTTAGCGTTCAATAATAATATAGAAATGATCACAATACGAGCAAACAGTTTATATGAAGAATCTTTTAATAGACATCATACCGTGCTTTTTTCATATCTTCTTGAAAATCCAATGAAACGAAGCATACATTTTCTTTTAATTCATTAATAATATACGTTTCATTCATAACTAAAAGTTGTCTAAAATTCAACAAAATATTTTCGCAATCTTTATATTTTAGAATGCTCTTACCGATAAGAAATAACACTTTTTAATTGATTAGTTAGTAATTTTCCCCCGACATCAATTCTTTAAGCAAAAATGATCGAAATAGTTTATAGGAAAAAAAAATCATTTAATTTTCTTTTTTTACCTTGTCATACCATCAAGTAATTTTCTTCCTTGATAGAATGGAACAATATGTGTAAACGAAAAACCAGAATCAATAACAAGAACATAATTCGATTTTGTATCTCGTTCATACTGATAGGCACTTAATGTAGCAGCTAGAAAAAAAAAAGAATGAATAATTTCAATAGTTCTTCTTCTTCATGAGGTTTTTGCTATGAAATTAATCTTACGATCATATCGTGCAAATGATGCAACTTCATATTCTTCAAAAAAAATTTGATCCATTGTTTCACGAATAAAATTTAAATTCATATATGGTTCTGTCATTAATAAACCAGTTGATTTAAATGGTATCTAAAGAATATTATGTAAAACAAAACAAAGAAACAGAAAAAAAGAAAAGTAATTTTTACTTTGCCAAATAAATGATCCCATACTTGTTTTTGAATATTCCAATCGACTAAATAACCCTAAAAATGATATAAAAAATTTAATGCTTGATAAATTCATTAGATTTTCTTTAATTCTTTACTTTTTGAAATGGTAATTGATAATAAAGACTTGTTTTATTCGGACATTCATTATCTATTTGGTCAGCAATAAAAGTACGACGAGGATAAAATTTTGATTTCATGACACAATTAGGAATGATTCTATATGAGAAAATTCATTTATTGAAACACAATTGATTATAGAAATAATTCAAACCTTGGTTTATCTGATGTATTCATCTTTGATTTTGACATATGTGCTCCATTATCAACAACAAATATCGGTTTAGTAGCCATTAACTAAACTAAAGTATATAGATTTATTATCAAAAACTTTTATTTAAATGTCTCATCAAAATGTTGTGCTTATATATTTGAATAAACATATACAAAATAACAAGAAAGAAAAACCACAAACAAACTGTTCAAAAAAAAACAAGAAGATAGACTATTATTAATCGTGTGGATATAGTTCTTGTAGCCATGGTTGCATTATATATTGAACACCATCAAAAAAACTAAAATAATCACTCAATTGGGCATTGACTATCTAAACAGAAAAAATAAATATTATTATAAAAAATACTTTATTAGCACATATATAGTCTTTTAGAATAGAATTTAAGTGGAAATTTTTGTTTCTTTTTTAGTTTTGTGATGTTTTTTGCTCTACAATAAGAGATATTTGTTATACAATATAGCTATGGGTATATAGAGGCCAAAGTGTCCTACAATTAACACTATTTTGAAAGGTGACAGCTATTAATAAATAAGAGTGATGAATCATTTTGATCTGTTTCTTATATTTTTCTTATGTGAATTCTTATACGTAGTAGTTATCGTTTATCAATGGTAATTTCATTAATTGTTCTTATTCTTATAGTTATAGAAGAAATTGAAATTGATGACAAAGCAACCTACATATCATATTAAGAATGAAAAATATTCATGCTGAAATCGACAAAAAAAAAGATGATAACACAAATAAACTTCATTCAACATAAAATATCGAGAACAGCACTGCTAGGTTTGATGATTAGAATACTCGATAAATATTAAAGATGTTACTTTTCTCTAAATAATCCATTGGCATCTATTGTAAAAGCTCTCTCATATGAGCATCATTGGGACTGACAAAAAATGCTCATTATTGAAAGATTCTCAGTTGCTATTTTTTTAATGATCTGTTAATAATATTATACTATAGTGTAGTCTATACTGTCTTCTACTTCTATCAAACATCGAAGTATAGTGTTATTCGTTTCAGGAGAAGCACATAAACAAACCATTGCTCAACTCAAATTTGAAACCAAAGGACTCAGGTATCTTTCAACAAATTAATTTTAATTCTTAAAATCTATCAATTCTGAATGAAATTTTTTTTGTATATTAATCTTTTATGAACAAACCTTTGTATTTTTAATAACTTCAATATGTTCTTGTGGAATATAAGTTTTATGAGCACGTCGATCTCTTGTATCAAGTAATACAGAATAATTTGGTTGAGTTCTAAATTCCTAAATAAGAGACAGAGGAAAAAAAAGAAAACTATAATTTTCTTATTAAAAATTTAATTTTTCTAAATTAACTGGATGTTCGTGATGATGTTCATCCAGCCATTGATCTGGTGCAGAAGCTATTTCATCCCAACCAATAATTACTGCACGATAACCATAGATTTTATGTCGAATAACTTGACCAACTCTATATTTAACATACTCAGATCGAGATGAACGAATAGCTGGTGAAGCTAAAGTCAAGAAAAAAAAAGTTTCATCATTTAACGGGTGTCGTAGAAATAGTGAACCATTTTTTTAATCAATGAAATTTTCAAAAAAAAAAGCTAATTCGATAGAGAATTCAATTCTTTAGAAAACCTGTTATTGGAAATTTGCAGAGCTATATAATTATCTGAATAGTATTGAAAATAGTCACAAGTATAAATTTCAAAAATGTGCTCTTCATATCAATAATTGATGCTCTATGAACTTTAATATCATTAGAAAACTCTGTGTTTAGCCATGCATTTTTTATACCTTCGCCTACAAGAGTTCTTTTTTAAGAAAACTTTTCAAATTTAACAACAGTCACAGATTTGAAAAAATCGCATTTATATATCCATCTTTCATACTCTTCAGTTTTCTGACTCCAGACCAATACAAGTTCAATACATTCCAACCTATAATGCTGACGGCTTATTGAGAATTAAGTTGTATATTTTGTTTTTTATTTTAACACAAAAACTTTAAGTTTGTACTGAGAAGATCGTGCTTTTCTCTTTAAACCACTTTAATTATGGATTATGTGTTTCTATAGCTATTAAGTGTGACTAATGAACTTATAAACAATCCGAATCGATAGGACACAGAATTTTCTTTATAGTCATATAGAAATATTGAATATATTCACTTGAAGTAGCAACTTAAAACGATTATGAACAAGGTGAAAATGATAAGATACAATCTTGAATATTCTTCCGATGATAATTGTGCTTTGCAAATTTCGAATAGCAGGTTTTATAGAAAACTAAATTCTTTATCGAATGAGTCCTTTTCGTGAAAGTGTTATCGATTATATCATAAAAGGGCTCATTTTTTCTGACCCATGCGTTATAACAATATAATAGAAAAGAAAACAAAAGATAAATTACTAGCAAAATATCCATATTTTTCTCTCATATAATAAACTTCTGTAGCAGGAGACTCGATTCCACGCCTCCATGTACGTTTATGTAAAAGTGGATTAAAGCCAAGTGGAACTTCAATAACAAAACTTATAAACCAATTAAACCATGTCGTTGGTGATAAATAATGAAATACTTGATTAATTTGGTTTGTAATTCTAATTAATAGACAAACACTTTTAAATGTTAATTCACCAAAATAAAAAAAAAAAAAGAATTCTACTTAGTAATTGCTTGTGTTTGTTCAAAATCTTTCGAAGACCATTTCATTAAAATAAAATATTGTAATGGTAGAGCAAGTAAAAGTAAACCAAATTGAAAAAGAGCAAGACGATCCATTTACATCTATGATAAAAATCTAATATTTGTCATTTTATTAAAAATAATCTAAAATAATCAAAATATTTATAAATCATTTAAATGTTTTTCTAAACATTCTGGATGAACAAAATTCATAGAAATAATATCATCTGTGAGTTGATCTAACAGAAATTTTCCACATAGATTACATCGTATAAATGAAGATTGTGTTTGATTTTTAATTATAAATTCTTTTTGATATATCCAACATATATTACAATAATAATCAATATGATTATTTGTTTGATATATATCAAAACGTGTAAAAGTTTTATGACAACGTGAACATTGTTTAGGATTTATTTCATAAATACCATTCCAATCTTTTCTACAACATGTTAATGATGAATTTAAATCTGTTTTTTTCTAAAATAGAAAACATACAAAAGAAATAAAATCATAACAATGACTAGTTATTTGATAAGGTGACAATAATGTGAAATTCTTTTTGTGTCAATGAGTGAATAGAGCTCATCGACTTATCTTTATAAATATGTTATTTTTGAATAATGTTTTTCGAGTGAAATAACTTCGAAAAACTAGATTTAAAAAATCAGAAAAGTCTATAATATATCAAATACGCCAAATATATTTGATCTCTGTAGCCTTTATTTTTATTTGAAATTTTATTTTTATCTTACTCGTCATATGGTCAGAAAAATACAATAAAATACGAGTTCGTATGCAGAGACTTTGACTATTAAAATTTCAGTTTAAAAGTAAACGAACATCATGTTCAAAATTACCTAAAAAAGTCTATATCGAATACTATACTCAATACTTAAAACAAGTGTTCGTCAAACTTCGAACTTAAATTCGCTAAGTTTTGCCGGAAAAAAACATTATTCTAATATGTCAAATAGTAATACTTTTAAAGATAACTTAACAAACATTATAGAATCATGGCAAAAAAAATTGCTCAAATGAAGTAGTGGAAAAAACGTTTAACAACATATTTTTGATATTTATTTATAATACTAAGCAATTAGCTTAAATCCAGAGACTAATTTTGATAGACAACGGAAGCTTCCATTAAAAACTTAGAAACATCACAAAAAACAAAAAAAAGGCCGTTTTTAGTCGATGTTTGTGATACTTTTAACTTTTTAAGGAGAAAGTACAGAAAATAGAGGAGATCCTCATATTGTCTTTTTCTAAAACAAAAAGGTTGTGAAAAAATTGCTTCTGGAATCTGAAAACTGTTGTGTTCCATCATAGTTCATCTAGTATAAAATGCATTAGATAGAAAATTCCAGTGGTCATTAAAATCACTCTCTGGACTTGAGTTGATTGCTTAACATTATAGAAAGCTATCAAAAACACATTGTTAAAACTTTTTTCTATCACCTTACACAATCATTTGGTTTTCTAATATCAATAACATGTTCATCATAGCACAATCCATGATAGTTTTCATCATCAATAGTTAAATCATTTTGTTGTTGTTCAAATTTATAATGTTGTTTTAGTCGTTCAAATAATAATTGACCATAATTATGTATATTAACTTTATCAAATCTGAAAGAAATTTAAAAAAATTTCAATAAAATTCCTGTTATAAACACAAACGATTTGTGAAAATTGGATTTATTCTTTTTTTCTATTATAAAATTTTCTTGTAATTTTTCATGTATTAAAATATCTGAGTTTTTACATTGGTCACATAAAACTTGATCATAACAAATATTTCCACAATAGTTAATTAAATTTAAAAAGTTTATATTATCTTTTAATAATTTTCTCTGACACTTTATACATTGTAAACATGTTGGATGATAATAAATATATTTCTTTGCTTCAATATCATAATCACGAAGAATTAATTCACCAAATGAAAATTCTTTTTGACAAATGAAACATTGATTTGTTGAAAGAATATCATCAGACAAATAAATATTCGATATCATAAAAAAAGAAATTTCTTTTTTTTTCCCGCTTAGTTTCTATTCTTATTAAATGTAAGAGAATTTCTTTGCTAATTAAAATTATTTTCTTAAATGATTTGAAGTGATTTTAATCGATTGGATTATTCGATAGAAACTTAATTTGAAATGAATAAACCAATTGATTGTTTATCATATTAAAATTAATTATTGAATTAAGTCAATATTTGAGATGGGTTCTTTTTTACTAGTGATAACAATAAGACGAGCATCTGAATTTGATGATTGCATTGAAATCTAAAACGATAAGTCATTTAGTGATATATAGAACTTACAAAACTTAATTTCAGTCTTTGAAATGATTTATTGTTATTCTCAGTTCCGTTTGACTTTTTTTTGGTGATGAAATAAACCTTTTTTTTTACACCACGACAGTCTCAAAGGAGCCACTGATAAAATAATCTCGTAAATAGAACATTAGTCGCTATGATATGCTATCAGTGTGATCAAGTCTATTGAGTGTTCTGCCATCGATACAGAGTAATTTTGGTTACTCGATTGACCATATGGCGAAAAAAGTGGGATCGAACGACATGAGAACTTTTGATCTTCCTTTCTATTATGATAATTTTTAATGGGCAAAAGCAACTAATATTCTATGATTTTGAAGTAATATAAAAGAAAGTAGTGAATATATAAAAACTAATTTTGAAACAATATATTTGTTTTCGACATATATTGTCAAATAAGCCCCTATTTTTGTCTGAGGTATGACATGATAACTGAAGACATGTTATTCATATCAAATATTAATTCATTTTTTCACGTAATGAGGTTTATTCTACATGCATTAATTTTATTCTTGATTCTTCTCTGTCTGTGCATTAGTGATAATACAGTTCATTTTGTGATTTATTTGCTGTAATTCAACAAGGTATCTATGAAACTTTAAAAACTAATATTAATCACTAATAGGTATCTTTATCAATCTATATCACACAATAAGTCCCAATGTTCTTTACGTTTTTCTAAAATTTTGCTCAGTGATAGTTGATGAAGTTCATCACAAAGTATTAGAATTCTTTGAAGGGTTTAGTTTTTATTATCGATCTACAGATAGTCACTCTAGTGATCAGTTGCAGGTAACATGTGAAAGAAAAAATTTATTACATGCAAAAAAAAAATTTTTCTATTTATATTATCATTCAAATTCAAATTTTATTTGCATGATTTTCAAACTTAGAGCACTAAATGTCTGGAAAACATCTTGGTCATATATGTTTTCTTTGTTTGTTAATCATTGTTAAACTGTAAAAACAAATATTGATATGATAAAGTTTGATAAAAAAAAAATCCATTGATAATTCAGAATTAGACTTAGTTAAAAAAACAAATTTACAAGAATTTTTAGATACATACATGCATGTGTTGAAGAAGATTTTGATGTAGTTTGTTAATATTGAATTGTATTGATGTTTTTATATTTTAGTCAAATAAGAGTAACAATATTATATACCATTGATAGTTTTGTTTTAATAAAATTTGTGTTAAAAAAAAATGCTTCTTTTGTTATCAGTGTTTTATAATTGAAATAGTCACATAATGTCTAATTAATGTTTTCAAAGAAAATAATATTTTATTAAGAAGACTAAAGATATTTGCGTATTACTTTATACATAGCGTCAACAAAAGTGACCGTCAATTTTACCATTAAAAATCATATTTACATTTATCAAGTAAAGTTTTAGCAAATAAACGACTAAAGTGACGATAAATTTGTAATAATTTCTGTGAAACGTCTATTTGAAGTTTATTAAAAGGACAAAAATTAATTTTTAATACTAAATTATAGTAACAAATAATAATCAATATTACAACATTTAATTAGATGTGATTTAGTTGGTAATTTTCGACGGTAATTTTATATATATATATCTGTTAATGAAACATTTTCAATGACATTTGTACTGATAGTCAGCAACAAACAAGTTGATTTATCGTGTCATCGTACCAATGACTAATATACTCGTGTTAGCTAATTCGGCGACCTCTATCAATTGACATGAAGCAGAAATTTATAAGAATATTGTTAGCGGAAGTTAAATATTATTATAAATATGAATCTCTTATGGAATTTTTTTTCTATCGGAGTACAAGATTCATCATTTAAGTACGGGTCAATTTATGCGATCATTTTTTTCCTCGAAAGTTTTCTGCATTAATAATCAACGAATTAGAATAACTAAATGCAATGTTTTTTTTTTTCATTTTCATATTATTGACTAATTATGGCTTCATTTATCAAGTGTTTGAATGTTTTTTTAGAAGTAAGAAATATGAATTTTGAAGTTGTTAAAGAATCCTCAATGTATCCATGATGATTCTTTGAGAAAACAAGTATTGATCATTGTTTCTTTCATCATAAATTCATGTACACCAATTGCTTGGTGGATATGTATGTGAAAATAAAAATCATCGTAGATACTGTTTTTTTTTTGTTTTGGCAATTGTAGAACTGTAAGCATTAGTTATTTAATGTAGATTTCAATTCGTTTATCTAACATGATTTCATCGATATGAGTAAATTTCATTAAATAAACAGTATGATACATGTCTATATGTGATTCATGTAGTAGGCACATTTTCAGAGGCTTCAACATGTTCCGTTGAACAAACATTACAAGGCGATCATAATATTAATTCAAGTGGAAGTTGCTTATTATAATATGAATCTTCTATAATTGATTGAACAAATGATTCGTTTAGTCCAAGTGATTCATAGACAATACTATAATATGATCGAATGCATTCACAATCAGCACAAGCTGCTGTTGATGAAATCCAATCGAGTTAATTAAAAAAGTAAAGTTTCTCCACTCCTTTCTCTCGATTATACTTTGCCCGTAGCATTTGGAAAGAAAACTTCCGTATTAGTATTCAGAAGTAATTTGAAATTATTCATTCGTTTAGCAAATTGTAAAATGGATTTTTTAGGAACTTCACCATTTACTAGAGACCATCATTACATAACATGACACTTAATGGTTTTTCATTAATGCAATGAAGTGCATGAATAATAAAACAAAACAATGTTTTTGGAAATATTTTTTAAAAATCCTATTGAATATCAAAATTATGCGTATCTAAATCAGAATACTTGATTCTATTTGCTTATGTTCACGTCATAATAGATTCATATGATAAATGACATATGACCAATGAAAATTTGCAGTGCTTGAATTAATAGTACCATATTTGAGTTGAATATGTTCATTAGATAGTAATGAGCATGAAAATAATCAAATCTTGATTTATCAACAATGATTTGAGATAAGGCTGAATCAATAGTCACGTCGATGTAAAGAAAAATACGAAAAGAAACAATGAATTTGTGTTGTATTTGCTTCACTTTTTTTTTGTATATAAGACACAATATTTTAAAAGAGTAGAGCTTCTTTTGTGTTTTCTGTGTGCACTTGATGATCTGTTATCTCGATTTATACAATATGTCTTTGAGCGAGATCTGTCGCATACGATAGTATGTTCATAAGAATAATGAAAAAACAAAGAAATATTTACAACGAAAATAGAAAATATTATCGTGAAAATTGTGTGCTATAGGACAGTGTCACAACATCCATTTTAAACAATGTCTCATTAAGAAATAAACATAATTAAAACCTAAAAACTAATAAAACAATTTTTTTGTAGTATTTTTCAAAACAAGAGCTAGATATACATGCCAGTTCTATGGCATCATTCGATCAAAATATAATTTTATTCAAAAAAAGATTATTATTACAATAAAAATAAACAAAAACCAACAATGTTTCTGTAGCCTTTATTGTTGAGAGTCTTTAATGATAACCATGATGATGATGGTGATGATAATACGGTGGCGGTGGAGGACAATAGTCAACTACTGGCGCTGGACAATATTGAGGCACAGGTGGTGGTATATGATGATGTTGAAATTGAGGCGGCGGTGGACAATAACCAACAGGTGGTGGATACGGGAGTGGATGATGATGATGAGGATGATGATGGTGATAATGTGACGGTTCTTGACCCATGTTTGTTTATATGATGAACGAGTCACACAGATGAAACGCCGAGTAGTTGATAGAAATTGAAACAAGTGAAGAAATGTAAGAAGACATGTATATTATATACCATAAGATGTTATTGCGTGTATGTTTTCTCTACCTGACTCATGTTCTTCGATGATAACAAAATAAGCTAAACAACTAAACTTTTAATTGCACATGACATGTTGCTTACATCATAGTGACAGATAATAGCCATTTTTTTTATTTCTTAAGATAACAAAAAGACACGTTTCGAGAATAGATTAGAATAATATTTTTTTTTTTGTAATGAATCAATCATAAAATATTATTCATCATCTGACACAGCTAAAATATGGTCGCACTATTGTTCGTTTTATTGATAGTATACAATATTTAAACATACCAAACAGTTTTCATTATAAATTATAATGACATAGAAATCATTTATATTGTAAATAATAAAAATTCATTTCTTTTTTAGACTTAAAATAGTAAATGATTTGTTCCCACAAAAGATTTTGTTATTGCTACGTTTTCTACTAAATCTCTAGAGTATTAATATAAATAAGTCTTCTTGACAAAATACTTTTCATGAAACTTTTAGATTTGGTTAACAGACCCCATAAGATCAATCTTGTTTGCAAAAACGTTATTGAACAAAAAAGACATTTATGATATATATATACTCTATAGATGAATTCTTCTATAACAAGCATAATAAAAGTGTAAATTAGTTGTTACTTTTTGTATGGAAATGTTTATTTATTTATTTATAAAGCATGGAAACATTGAAAATTAGTACATTAAAGACAAGATATCAGTTTGATTAAAGAAGACTAAAGAATCATCAATGATGTCCATGATGGTGATGATGATGATGAAAACCATGATGATGATGCGAAGGTAGTGGCCAAACAGGAGGAGGTACACATTCATAGTGTCCTCCATGTTGAT